AGAGGAAGTCAATATAAAATATTTGATGCAATAAACATAAGGAAAGAGGATAATAGAAGAGAAAAAAATGTGGAAAGAAAAAAAAGTAACTTAACCCAAGAAACTTGCTTGAAATACCATGTTGTTGAGATTAGCGGCTCAAAATACTTAAGAGCGATGCAAAAATTGTACAAATAGGTAATTTTTAGATTTCAGGTCACAAGTGTTACAAATAATAAATGTTTTAAAAACATTTTAGTTTTAAAAACATTTTTTAGCATTTGGGTTTGTCTACCATAGTTAGCATCAATAAGGCTATTCCTACCATTTCCCCTTTATTAGAAATTGGTGATTTGCAGCTTAAAGAATAAGTGTATGTGCACATACACTCCTATGCAGTGAACTCTACAGATAATTGCACTTCTTGATGACAGCAGTGCCATCAAGAATGCTTTCCTGTGGCAGATTTGATTTCCCATAGTTGTTTCCGGTGTGGCCCACAAAACCCATCTACATACATGTGGTATTTCGCTGGTCGTGTTTGCATTTGATTTAGCATATGGTGTAAACCATGCAGTACCTTGATCACCATACAGAAGCCTGCACTGTAATCATGTTCTAGTGCATCGTCTGAACTAAGACTGGAAATTGGAGCCCTAAGACAAATGGCAGGAATGCTCACAAAATGGACTTGCTCCTGGAGCAGCGTCTATGCTGGCTATTTTCAACTGCAAGGCATAATCTGGAGACACAAAGGGGATAGGGAAGAGCTTCAATGCAATCAAAAAGCAACAAGAGGAAGGGCAGCCAACAACCACAAAGAGATGACAAAAAAGAGGGAGACTGGCTTTAGTTTGTGACTTCCATTTTACAGTGGTTGTTTTCCTTTCTCCAAGGGCTGGTTCCACCTGGTTGGCAGGGCGTGATCATCCTCCAGGCTCCTCCATTGGGGGGGAATCCTACAGAAAACTCTGCCCTCCTTTGGAACATCTGCATTAAACCATTGGGGAACATCATCTGCCAAGTTGGGATTCAGTATGTGTAGGGATTGGATGGGGAGGAACTGACTCAGTCATACCAGAACCAGATGGTTAGGGGTGTTTGGGCACTTCGGATCTGGGAATATTCTGATCTTGGATGGGGTTGCACTTCCCAATGCAAGCGAAACATACAATTTGGGGGGCTTTCTGAGCTCACAAAACGATGCCCAGGTGGCAGATATGGCTAGGGGAGGCCTTTGCCCAGCTTCATTTGATGTGCCAGTTGCACCCTTTCACAGAATAGGTGTGTGTGGAGGAGGGAAGTTGGGTCATGTCTGCTCTTTTCAAACATGGCTGTACTCATGCAGATAAGCTTCCCCCCTTCCCATAATCGTTCCCCCCCTTTCCTCAGAACTGCACTCACAGGCATTCAAGCTGGTGTTCCAGTTGCCTTGCTAACTGAGCCAACCACTGGTGTTATCAAGGATGTGCCGAGGTCCAGAGGAAGCTTCACCCAGGCTTTTGAGCTTACAAAAGCAAATGCTAAGAAAGAACGGAAGGACGAGAGCCGGAAAGGTGAAAGCAAAAGACCTACAGAGAAGAAAGCGAAGGTGAGATCTGGAGATTGGCAGCTATTATAGCAGAACTTTCATTCAACTGCCAGGAACACAAGCTAGACTGGGCAGCATATCTTGGTGGAGGCTTAGTAGGAACTAGAAGAGGAAGAATCACACTGAAATAGCACCTCATCCCAACTAGTGCAAGGATCAACCAATGGAACAGTTTGCCCTCGGAAGTTGTGGGACCGCCATCACTTGAGACCTTCAAGAAGAGGTTGGACTGCCATTTGTCAGAAATGGTGTAGGTCTCCTGCTTGGGTGGGGGGGGGGTTGGACTAGATGACTTATAATGTCCCTTCCAACTCTGATTATCTGTTATCTTAACAAGGTTGACACTATATGGAACAAAGCTGTTATAGAATCTAGTTGTTCTGCTTTTGGATAACATGAAGCCTCCTCCCAGAAGGCAACAAAGAAAAGAAAATCAGCCATGTAGAGGTTGTGTAAAGTCCCTGACAATACTATGGACCCTTACTGTATACGCCTAATGCTGAAGTACAAATCAAGGAACTATAGCTCAACCCACCAAAAACATAACTGTAAAAGACAGACCAGAAATAAAAGTTAAAATAAGCAAAAAAATAGTAAGAGAAGACCTGTCTGATCTTGATGAAAACAAATCACCGGGGCCCGATGGATTACATCCCAGAGTTTTAAGGAGCTGGCAGAGGTCATCTCAGAACCACTGCACCATATCTTTCAAAAATCCTGGAGCACCGGGGAACTACCAGAGGACTGGAAAAGAGCTGATGTGGTTCCCTTCTTCAAAAAAGGAAAAAAAACAGACCCAGGAAACTATAGACCAATCAGCCTAACATCAATACCTGGGAAGATACTGGAAAAGATAATAAAAAAACAGATCTGCCAACATCTAGAAACAAGTAAACTAATAACTAGCAGTCAGCATGGGTTTGTTAAAAACAGGTCATGCCAAACCAATTTTATTTCATTCTTCAACACAGTGACTAAATTAATAGACCAGCAAAATACTGTGGACATAATATATTTAGATTTCAGCAGGCATTCGACAAAGTAGACCACAACCTACTTCTTAGTAAGCTAGAAAAAAAGTGGAATAGATAGCACCACCACTAGATGGATTTGCAACTGGCTGGCAAACTGTACTCAACGAGTAGTCCTTAATGGGTCTAAGTCTACATGGAGGGAAGTAAGCAGTGGGGTGCCACAAGTTCCGTCTTAGGCCCAGTACTCTTCAATATCTTCATTAACGACTTAGATGAGGGAATAGAAGGGGAACTTACCAAATTTGCAGATGATACTAAGCTGGCAGGAATAGCTAACACCCAAGAAGATAGGCTCAAGATCCATCTGGATCTTGACAGACTCGAACACTGGGCCGTATCTACCAAATTAAATTCAATGTAGGGAAAAGTAAAGTTCTACACTTAGGCAAGAAAAGCCAAAAGTACACATATAGACTGGGTGAAACCAGGCTCAATAGTAGTAACTGTGAGAGGATCTTGGAGGCTTAGTGGACAACCAGCTAAATATGAGCCAGCAGTGTGCAGCCGCCGCCAAAAGAGCTAGTGCAATCCTAAATTGTATTAACAGAGGGATACAATCAAGATCAAGTGAGGTACTAATACCACTCTATAAAGCCTTAGTAAGACCACACCTGGAGTACTGCATCCAGTTTTGGTCACCACATTATAAAAAAGATGTTGAGACTCTAGAAAAAGTACAAAGAAGAGCAACCAGGATGATCAGGGAACTGGAGACTAAAACATATGAAGAACAGTTGCAGGAACTGGGCTTGGCTAGTCTAGTAAAGAGAAGGACCAGGGGAGACATGACAGCAGTCTTCCAATATTTTAGGGGCTGCCACAGGGAGGAAGGGGTCAAGCTATTTTCTAAAGCTCCTGTAGGCCAGACAAGGAATAATGGATAGAAACTGAACAAGGAGAGATTCAACCTAGAAATAAGGATAAACTTTCTGACAGTGAGAACAATCAACCAATGGAACGGCTTGCCCTTGGAAGTTGTGGAAGCGCCATCAGTTGAAACTTTCAAGAAGAGATTGGACTGCCATTTGTCAGAAATGGTGTAGGGCAGGGATCCCCAACCTTTTCGACGCCGCGGCCCGGTTCCGGCATCAGCTGGGCGCCGCGGCCCGGTACCGGCGTCAACTGGGCGCCGCCATCTTTTTTTGACGAAAAAGCGCTTCCGGTGAGCTTTCTACCCGGAAAAGCTCACCGGAAGCACTTTTTTACCAAAAAAAGATGGCGGCGCCCAGCAACCAGCGGCCCGGTAAGGCTTGTTCCGCAGCCCGGTACCAGTCCGCGGCCCGGCGGTTGGGGACCCCTGGTGTAGGGTCTCCCACTTGGACTAGATGACCTACAAGGCACCTTCCAATTCTGATTATCTGTTATCTGTTATCTGCTTGGGAAAAGATAAAGATTAAAGCCTTTGAGACTTTAGTACTCAGTATTTAGTAATACTGGGTATTAGAAGAATAAGTAATAAAGGACCGAGTATTTAAAGATATATTTTATGTGACAACATCAACTTGCAAAATGTAGAAGTGTTGGAATTGACCAATGGAATAACTTTGTCCGGGAAGAAGATGTGTATTGCAATAAAGAGTTTTGTGCAGATATGCTATGCTGTGGTGTGCCCAGTTTTTGAAGAGCAAGCAACCCTCATAGGGGTAAGGGTGAGTAAGTGGAAGCTTCAAATATCACTCATTCCCTGGTCATCTCATGGCTTGATTATTGCAATGAGCTCTACATGGACTGTCCTTGATGACCACCTGGAAGCTTCAGCCATTCCAGAAAGTGGTAGCATGAGCAGTGCCTTGATATCTTCATTTAACACCTCTCTGAGAACTGCACTGTTTGCTGGTTTGCTTCTTGGTGCGATTCAAGGTGCTGGTTGCTGTCTATGAAGACCTATAAGGCCTGGTTATTTGGAAGGACTGCATGTCTCCCATTGCATCTGCCTGATCAATCTATTTCTGGCAGGATTTGTGCACCTTGGCTTCCATTGATTTATATATAACTCAAGGCAGAGGTCAGGGAAACCTTTATCTTACCAAGGCAGAAAATATACCTAATAATCCTGCCTCATTTTTGTTTTGAGATTTTATTCAGTTGACTCACCTGCCCAGATACTAACCCATTTAGGGATAACAACTGCTATGTAGAACTGAACAGGCAGACTATGAAGCTCTGATGTGTTAAATTCTTACAACTGTGGTGACTCCCTGACCAAGCTCTTCCAAAGTCTGTATGCAAATTCAAATATATTTCTCTTATGTACAGGATATATAAATGAATTATGTAGATTATGCATAATTAAACTGTAGTACTTTAATGTAATTGTCATAAATAGCACAGATTTTTTCAAAAAAACCTCTTAACTTTTATCTTATTACCTAAAATGGCAAAAAGTCCACATTTAAAAAAATAATAATTACATATAAGATTGAAACAAATTGTAAATAAGTTACTATAAAAGAAGATTAAATCTGCTAAATTTGTTTTTATGTATTGCAAATAACAAGATTTTTGAAGCCTCCATTTCTTCTAAAAAAATTTGAGACGGGTTTGGCCATCATGTCTCGTAGGATCTTTTTCAAAAGTTAGACGCCTTTTTTTAAGCTGTGGTAATTGCATAAATTCTAAACCTGCCAAAAAAGAAAGAAAAGAAAAGAAAAGAAAAGAAAAGAAAAGAAAGAAAGAAAGAAAGAAAGAAAGAAAGAAAGAAAGAAAGAAAGAAAGAAAGAAAGAAAGAAAGAAAGAAGAAAGAAAAAGAAAAGAAAAGAAAACAAAAAACAAATCATTATCAAATAAGCAGTTTATGAGCTTTCCTAGCAAGTATATTTATGTGTTTTATATCACTTATACTTCAGAGAAATAATATGAAATTCCAGGCCAGATGCATACAATCTGAGGCTTTAGGATGTCATGTGGTTCCTAAAACCTTCCAGATGTTACCAAACTTTCTTTTAATCAGATATAAATTTTTAAAAAATTCAATACTTACTAGCAAATTCATTATAAATAACTCTTTTTTTTAGTGGCTCAAAACAATCCTTTTATTTTATTTTTTTAAATAAATTATAGATAACTCTAATGCTAACATTGTTATATCTTTTCTTAAACCAAATCTTTGCTTTCTAATAATCAAGAAGCTTAACCTGAAGAAAAACTGTAAATATCATTTTTATATCTTTTTAAATGTAATTTTAATGTGGTAATCTCTCAATTGTTTAATAAACAAAACTTACTGTATTTCAGTTATTTTCCCATTTTATGCAAATAGCAAATTAAACATTCCATATTTTGAATCTAATGTGAATCTAACAAACGTACAGATTAAAATCAAGAACTCTTGAAATACTTCTGTCAAGATAACTTCATTTGATTCATGAAATTAAATTAAATGTAATCAACTTTAGTCTTTATTCTGATTAGTCATTCACTTTATGGGATGGTTCTAAGCCTGCTATCCAACAGTGAAGTATTGCTCCTTGCCCTGAAAAGTATGCATGTCCCTGTTTTAACCTTGAACAGAAATTGTTGTAGTCTAAACATTTTTCACTTCATTTCCCCTTGTAGTGCTATTTTCTTTTTCTATATGCATTTTTAATCTTTTGTGCCTCTGTTAGTAAAGCCTGGTCTGAAAAGGCGTCTGCCCTAATTAAAATAGTCTTCAAAATGTTTCATGCTTCTTTCTCATTTGAAGAACTACAGAATAGCACACTTCACTACAAAATATATAGAAAAAAGAGTTGTATGTAGAAATACAGATTCTAGAATACTGTATGATCTTTACCTCATGTGGAATAGATTATACCGTAGTATTGCTTCCAATTCTCTTACAATCATCTTAAGCTCCCCAAGGTTTACAATATGAACTGCCCAAAACATTTCAATTAACCTTTTTCTGTTCAATCCAAGTTTCCCTTACTTAGCCTGACAATGTTTGAAGCAGCAAATTGGGAGCCGCAATCAAAGCAAGATAGTATCAGAATCTAATACAAATAGTCCTAGTATCAGCATTCCAAGTAATGCACCCATAGAAAACAACCTCTGAGGCACTGGAGTTCCTCAAAGAACAGTTTATTGGATACATCATTTTGGCACAAACTGATGAAAACCAACTCTGAGGTTTCCCATGGCTTTCACCTAATTAAAAGTAAAAGTTTTCCCCTTTCCCCCCCAAGTCACTGGTCACATTGTCCAATCCAGGTGCTGGCTGGTTGCTTCTCCTCTGGCCAGCCACCTGTGAAAATGTCCTTGGTTCTCATAGGAAAACTTCATTATTTTGGCTACAAAACCCCATATAACTATTTTCCCACTCCCATTGCTGTGTGGCAACCCTGAAGCCTCCAAGATGGCTCATTTCAGGGCTGACACCTAGCTGCATTCTACAGAGATGGCACTTGGTCAAATATATCATTTAACAAATAATTCTTAACACAAATTTGCTTGCAACAAAACATTTCAGTAATCATTTTCATAGAACAAAATGGCACCTGGCCTGCTTGCACGTATGTGAAACAAAGATCAACATGATGTATTGATGTATTTGCATCAATCAGAAATGACAGCTCCTGATTCTGATCTGGCTAGTTGATTGGTTGTGAATGCAAAGTATCAAGGAATGAGCTGGCAAGCAGATTCTGGCTAGTGAATGCAGAGGGTTGTGGAGAAGACACTGGTTGACCTCTACAGGCTACTGATGATATTTTAATTACAGATTGAATATAACTGATCTAGAATAAAATAGTGCTACAATTCCTATTCTCAGGAAGCAGGGTAGTTTAGCTTTTGAATGCAAAAATAAGATGCATTTCTTCCCCCCAAGTGGGAGGCTCTGCCATTTGCCCCTAGGGAAAGAAGAAAAATGGTTGGATTCAGTGGTTGGCTGATCTTTTGCTGACTCTTAGGATGTTTTTGATGAGCCCTCAATGGAGAAATGCCGAAATAACAATTTATAAACATTAATAAATGGTGTTTCTTAATTAGCACAAAGGCAACCCTAAATATTCCCTTGTAATTTTTAGTATTTTATAATTTAGAAAGTAACAGCACTTTGTTTTACGCTCTTACCTGAAACATCTTGTTGTCTCTGTTCACCTGATAATGAATTACGTCCTTTCCCCCTGGTATATTCTCCAGTAAACTGAACACCAAAGTTCATGAACCTATCTGGACTGGATATGGCTTTGCCTACACGTGAATCATAGGGAGAAGAATCCATTGCTTGTATGAATGGGGGGTTACCCCAAAATCTTTCCTCAGATTGTAATGCAGGACTGCTGCTTGCTTTTCTTCCTATTTCCAAAACATTCCCTGAGCTTTCCTGGAACAGAACATCTTTTCGTTTAGAAACAATATGAGAAGAATGCTTGAAATCATGGAAAGAATTCAGTCGTTGCGCAAGAGGTTGAATTTTTCCCAGATGTTCATTTTTAGCATCATGATAGTTAGTCTTCTTCAAGAACTCAGAGATATCTAGCTGTCTGCCTGTGTCCACTTTTGAAACAGTCATTCTATTCAGTGGACAATTCTCAATATAAGAGCTAGTGTCCTGGTTACAGTGCAAATATGACATTGTGGTTTCATTATTGACATGGGAAGATCCCCCAATACTATTCAGTGTTAAATGCGATGCATTTATTATTTTTTCTGTTTCCACTTTTTTCAGAAATGGGAGATAAAGTTGCCTCTCTATCTTTACATTATCCTGAAAGGGACAGGTGTCTCCTTCATACAATATTGAAGGTATAACTAAGCTATGTTCTCCAGTTGATTTCAGACAACCACAAGATCCATTTTGGCAGAAATCTGTGGAACAGTATTTGTTCTGTTCTTCGGGAAAGCATTCTGAATACTCAGTAAAGGAATTATGTCCTTGCAATCTGGAGAACAAAGCCTCAGGAAATGGAAGCTGAGAATAAGAGCAGATGGCAGAATTAATATTTCCTTGAAGAGACATTTCTTTTTGTGTTCCTGGTCTTGTTAGTGGTTTGAGGATATATAATGAAGTGATATCACTAAAATTCTGGGAAAAAAAAGAAAAACGTAGATCTGAGTCCATAAAAATAAAACACATGCATTTTTTTTAGTGTGAATATTCAACTAATATGTAACAATTACTACAGAGACTTCAGCCTGCACATAAATATTATCTACACCCAAAGAAGAGTACAGCTTGGGAATAAGGGAGAAAATTTACGGACAGGAAGAAATGCTAGTAATGTTATGTTGATCACTGTATTTCCATACAAACGGCAACATTTTAAGAAATTCTTCAGAATTTTGAGGGGAAAATAGCATTACAATAACTCCTACCAATGAGTCCTTCGGTGGGTTGCACATTAGAGCTGTGGAAATTCTTTGAAAGATGTGCTTCTCATCACATGGAAAATGCAAAGCAAAGTAGTGGTGCATGCATACCCATAGCAAGCCCATAAGCTTGGATAAAGATATAACTGCTTTAACAATTATAAAAGATCACAAGTGCTTCTTTTGAATGCTGTATGCCATAATTTATCTATTTAAAACATACATATAGCTATCCATCCTAAGCAGCTCTGGGCAGCTTACAATAATAACAAAACCAACAACTATGAAACAATAATAAAACAGTGAGACAATAGAATAATAAAACAAAAAATTGTGCCATAACTGTCTTCTTAGGATGCCCTACTACAGCAAGCTGCAGTTGTCCCCAATCTTTTCTACCCATACAGTAATGAAGTAAAGTATTCACAAAGTTGAATTCAAACTATAATATTACTATTATCAAGTTGCTACTGAAAAACACTGGCATACAGTATAACCCTACCTTGAAGAGGAAACATATGCAGCTCAATAATGATATCTCAAACAAGGATTACATAGGCATCAGACTGTTAACACTGGTACTGTGATAGCCTAGGATATTTTAAAGTATGCTACAGGAACACTACAGGTTGTTGTGGTATCTCATTAATTTGAATTAATATCAGAATACTTGTGAATTGATGATTTATAATCTTCTTGATAAGCAGCATTTTCTGTATGTGGTTTTGCGAAGGATGAGGAATGACCGCAATACTGTATGTTTGTTTTTAATTTAATGCAAAAGGTTTTTTGCAATTGTATTGACATAAGCAAATATGCTTATCGAATTAAAAACATCCAAACAAATTCAGTCTCAAGGAACTATTCTGGTTTCTTTCCTCTTGCAACAACAATTGAAGCAACAATATAACTGAATTGTACACATCATGCTTATATCCTGGACAACTGACCTTCAAAACCTTTTCTGGCACCTCAGGCAGAAGTTCCTGAAGCTCAACAAAAGATGCTGCCAGGAGCCATTCCAGTGAAGAACTTTTCTTTAGCATGACTTGAGCAACTAGTGGATTCATGCATGGAAATGTAAGCAAGCATTTCTCTGCCTAGAGAAAAAATAGAATTAGACTTACTGTATAATTTGTTTAGGTATTCTATGATAAATGAATCCAGGCAACTGAAGATAACCTGTGGTTATTGCGTTGACCATAGCTAACTATAGTTTGGATAGTTAGCCATTTTTTTTTCTGAAATAATTTAGAATTTGATGTGTTTTTCTTTTTTATCTTAACTGTGATTTTTTTTTTGTTTAATTGCTGGTCTATGACCAAATAAAAGTGGTTTGATTGGCTATGAGATTATACCGCTATAATTATCTAATTCAGTAGGAAAAAAGGGTTGGATGAATAAATAAACAGGACAAACTGATATTTCCTGATGGTCAGCAGTTAAGTTTCCAGAAATATATGTTGAGAGGTAACTAATTCACTATAAGAGTCTCCAACGTGGGATAATGCTTGGACTCATTTCCAAAGTATAACATCCACAATTTTCTGCTCTATTCAACTCACAAAACAGAAAAGCCAAATCATCTTTAAATAAACCCTTCTAAATAAACCCTTCTAAAATTAATATATACTCCAGGTCTAATGGAAGATTATTTCCAAAATAAATTTCCCTCTCTCCAATTCAATTTCTGCTCAAATAACTTTCAATGTACTTACTTCCATTGCCATTCCAACTAAGCTCTTACTCTTTGTCATGTTACCATAGAGGATTCCTCTTAAGAACAGTTTAACTTCCCTAAGAAGAAGTTGTTCTGAGGAATCATGAAGTTGAACAAATCTCCTTTCTGCTTCTGAAAAAAAAAGCTGAGCTTCTATTTAATTCTATAAAACACCAGCATCAAAGGAGCCAGGCTGGTAAGTGTAAAAATGCACATATAAGCAGCGGTTCACATAAGTAGATATTTATTTCTTCTGCAAGATCTGTAAGTATCTGCAAGAATCTTTCTCACAGCCTTGAATGCAATATTGAAACTTCAAATGTAAAAAAAACTCCAGTTGCAAACTTCTGGTTGCTTGAAAAAATATTTCTCCTTCAGACTTTCTTCATGTGGTGACCATGCCTAATGGATTGACCAGTGAAATTCCTTTGATTAGTTGATCAGTTGCTTTGTACAGTTGCTTTTGAACTGACTCTCCCATGAAGATATTTTATTCCTACTCCCCAGCTTATCTTTGTGTATCTGCTCCCTGGGAACCTGAAGCAAGGAGCTGCTGTTCCACATAAAGCAGGACACTTTTATTCTTTGTCAACCAACTCCCCTATTCCAGTGGTGGTATTCAGCCGGTCCGCACCGGTTCAAGCAAGGATTAGGTGTGGGTCACCAAACCGGTAGTAACTTCTGGCTGGCCACGCCCTCAACCCGGTCGGCCGGTCGCTGCTCACTCGCTTGCCCCGCCTGCCCGATGCTCGCTCACCCCACCCGCCTGCCCAGTCACTCCTTAAGGCATTTCTTCCCCCCCCCCTCCTGACAATCAGCTGTTCCTAGATCAGCTGTGCTGGGATTCCCCTTGCTTACTGCTTCGCCCAGGAGGCTTCCCTGAGGCCCAGGAAGGCAAAAAAAAAAAAACCCACATATTTTTTTGCCTTCCTGGGCCCCAGGGAGGTCCCAAAACAAAGCGTCCCCCCATGCTCCATTTTTTTTCCTTCCTGAGCCCCGGGGAAGCCTTCTGGGAGCAAAAACGCCCCCCCCCCCCCAAGCCTTTCCGGGGGTCCGAAAACCCCAAAAACCCGGGGGGGGGGGTGTTTGGCGCCAAAAAACAAAAAAAAAAAAAAAAGCCTCGGCCACCTGGTCACATGGCCATGCCCCCTAGATATGCCCCCTAGCCACGCCCACAGAACCAGTAGTAAAAAAAAAATTAACCCTACCACTGCCCTATTCCTAGTCTTTCTAAGAAAATCAGCCAATTTCCCTGGGATTGCCACCCAAAACAAATGCTGAGCTAAGCTAACATATCTTGGGATCCACATTTCCTAAATGGTCTCTTTGCATCCAGGACATTAATATTAGGAATAATGGTGTCCTGTCAACAAAATGAAGCCAAATCACTTACTTCTGATGGCAGGACAGAAAGCCATGATTTGTTCAGCCACTCCTGAGGATGTTGTTTAGATGCCAATAATATATGGTCAGCTATCTGGCGAACCAAAAGTGCTGTTTCTTCAACTCCTGGTGTAAGGGTCATCTAAAATATATTTGACTTTTAAATTTAGAATGAAAATTATGTGAAATAAAAAAGTACAAAAATAATCTTTTGATAGTTTAATGCCCAAGTGATGCTGCATGTTCACCCACTTAGCCTAGTTGGAAAAATGTAGGAAGTGTTATCTCTATTATTTATGCTTTGATAACCTAACTGGGACTGAGAATTATAAATATATTATTCTTGTACAGTTCTGCATAATTAATTAAGGGTAGGGGAACTTCTATTGTGTATTAACTTTAAAAGACAAAGCTTTTTAAAACACTATTCTTGTCCACAGGAAAGAACGGAGAATGTGGCTAAAGGAATGAAGGATTTTAGTCACTACTAAACTTTTTTGTATGAATCAAACTTTAGGATGTATCTATACAAGCACTTTTGCCTGAGTTTTGTGACATATATTTGAAAGTCCCAAAACAAGGTCAGATAGAGGGAAATATGTGTTTAAATCAGCCTATAGGAGAAGAGCAGGCAGAGCTGGGGGGGGGGGGGGTGAAGTTAAGAGAGTCATCAGCTGTTGGCTTAGACAAATGGCCTAAGGCCAACCTCCTCTTGAATTTCATTGACCCTTACCTGATGCCAATTAGCATTGAATGTGGAGTTGACTATAATCTTATGTATGAGCTTGAGCAATAAATTTTCTGAACTAGAATTTATGGGAGATCTTGATCCTTAATGCCTGATATTAATCTAGTCAACTCACATTCAATGCTAAATTGGCACCAGGTAAGAAGTCAATGGAATTCAAGGGGGGTTGGCCTTAGATCGTTTGTGGGAATGTAATCTATTGGCCAGGGGTGTCAAATTCAATTTCTTTTTTAATAAACTTTATTCAATTTTCAAACAATTTAAAAACATAAAATAAAAATATATATACACAGTTATATCAACATCAAAGACATCATTTACATTTCATAATCTTATTTCTATACATACATTATTACATTACAATTTCATATTCTTTTCCTTATTCTTATTCTATATTTATACCGCTTATTTCATCATATATTTTCCATTCATTCTACATTCAGTATATATGGTTTCCTATCTTTGACTTAATTATATTATTTTTTTGGTCCTATTCTCAAACCATGCATCCCAGGCGTCCCAGACTGTATAGTATATCAATTCCTCTTTATCTTTTAATTTTAAAGTCAGCCTGTCCATTTCTGCGCAGACTAGTATTTTCTTTATGACTGCTCCCTCTTGTGGTATATCTCCCTGTTTCCAGTGATGTGCATATGAGATCCTAGCAGCAGTTATTATGTGCAGCATAATATATCTATCAATTTTACTGTATTTCCCTTTTATTATACCCAATACAAATAATTCTGGTTGAAGTTCAATTTTTTGTTTTATTATTTCTTCTAGCCATATTCGAATCTTACTCCAGTATTTTTTAACTTCTGGGCAGGTCCACCACATATAAAAGTTTGCGCCTCTTTCTTTCTTGCATTTCCAGCATTCTGGTGTTTTTTTTTTGCAAACATTTTTGCCAGCCTGGTGGGGGGTAAGTGTCACCTATAAAACATTTTATACATGTTTTCTCTATATGCTGTAGACAATGTTAGTTTATAATTTGTCCCCCACATTCTTTCCCAGTGTTCCAAGTCTATGTTATGTCCAACATTTTTCGCCCAGGCTACCATTATTTCCTTAACTACCTCTTCTTCCATTTTAAAATTTAAAAGAAAATTGTATAATTTAGATATCATCTTTTTTTCTGTTCCTTGTAAAATTTTATCTCATTGTTGCTTATCCAAATAAAATCCGTATTCTTCTTTATCTTTTTTATACCTTGCCTGTACTTGCATATATGGTCACCAGTCAATATCTATATTTTGTTGTTGCAATTCCTGTATAGTTTTTAATCTTTCTTGTTCATCTAGCAGATCCTTATAGTTCCTTATTTTCACCAATTCCATTGCATTCGGATATATTAATGCCTCCATCGTTGACAGCCAGCATGGTATTTTGACATAGTGGTTCTTCTTAATTTTACTTGGATAAGTGCGTCTCTAATTTGGTGCCTCTGGAAGTAGGCATGTTTTTTATTTTTTCTGTCCCATAGAAAACTATGCCACCCTCTTTGCAAATCATGTCCTTCTATTAATAATATTCTTTTATTCTAATATTCTAAATTGATCCAATGTTTTATCCATACCAAGGCTGCCACCTGGTAGTACATTCCCCAGTCTGGGAGTCCAAAGTTACCCCTTTCTCTCCTATTCTGCAGCAATTTTAGTCAAATTCGATTTCATTGAAGGCCGCATCAGGGTTGTGTTTGACCTTGGGGAGCCAGGTGGGTGTGGACAGAGTGGACATGACCAGCTCGATGTCACTCGTATCAGGGGCACCTGTGGTGGCCCGGGCAGGCCTGAGGGATTCATTGTCTCCAGTGGAGGAAGGCGAGACCAGGGAGAGCACCAAATCCTCACCGTCCCTCTCAGGCCATGTGGAGGACCTCGTTGTCGAGGCTGCTGCTACTGTTCTCACTTTCCTTGGCCAGGTTGTCCATGGTGTGTGCGGGAGGGTAAAGTGTGTGGGTCAGAGAGTGGCCCACTCCCTCTCCACACAAAGAGACCCAGCTTTGTAGCCAAAGCATTCTCAGTGATAGGATGGGAGACCACCAGGAGAGGTGAGGAGGAGGAGACAAGGGGATGGGGAAAGGACAGCAGGGCTGCTAGTGGCCAAGTGCTAAACATGCTAAACCAACCTTCCTTCCTTCCTTCCTTTTCTTTTTTCCTTCCCTCTCCATTCTCCTTTTTTCTTCATTACTCCTTTCCTCCTTTTTCCTTCCTTGCTCTCTTCCCATCTTCCCTTCTTTTTCTTTTTCTTTCCTCTTTCCATTTCTCCTTTCCTGTCCCTTCTTGGATGCTCAAATGCAAAAGGGGAAACATTTCTCCTTTTCTTTTGTTTTGCTTTTAGTTTGTTTTGCTAGCCCTCTGCCAGTGGAGTTTGGGGGGGCTCCATGCAGGACTGCAAGAGGCCATTGCGGCTGAAAATGGGGCTGCGTGTGGCCATCTTGAGCTCTGTTTTAGCTGACAGAGCCAGGGCCAGTTCTTTGCTGTTTCCAGGGTGGCCCTGCAGCCCAGATCTAAGCAGTCTGTGGGTTGGATCCGGCCCGTGGGCCTTGACACCTCTGCTCCAGTTAGGCTGATGACTCACTTAACTCCAGTCCCCGGCTCTGCCTGCTCTTCTATACAGTCTGAATTAGTTTAGTAAAAGAATAAAAATGCAAAATCCCAGGGGTCAACTGTACTCAATCAAAGTATCCTGACTCCCAAATTAGGAACCACATGATTGGAATGGTAATGAGAAGGCCAGTAAAATGTATACAGAACAAATCTGGGTGCTGAATGCTGCATATATGATAACTCTTTATTGTCTAATATGTCATGATTAAATTATTTCTAATGTGGGAACATAGTGACACATATATTTATACATAAATTACCTTCACTTCAAAGTCTGAATTCTGAGCAAAAGAAATCAATGCTGCATAAATCAAAGCAAGATGATGCAGGGTTTTTCCAGTTAGGCTATATCTAAATAAAACAGCATATTTTATTATTGTTCTCCTACACACATACACACCAACCGGCAGAGAGAGAGAGAGAGGGAGGGAAGAAGGGAGGGAGGGAGGGAGAGGAGAGAGAGAGAAAGAGGCAGAAACAGAATGTTCCTTTTTTAAAGCCTTTTTGAACATTAAATATTCCTTAATATTTTACCTTTTAAGAAAACCAAAGTTGCTGTATGGTAATTTTACTTTAACATATAAATTGAGGGAAAATTTGCTATATTATATTTTTGTATAATATTAATTATGCTAACTAAATAACATTATGTTTATTTGATATATTTCAAATGCAAGGCTAAATGCTGCAATGAAGTAAGCAAAACCTAACAAGATGTTCTATTTCTCACACAAATCTTTCCTGAACCCTACAAAGAGAAAACTATTTGACTCAATTGCAATTAAGCAGAAACCTAAGGATAACTGAATAAATTCATGCAGCTCTGACTTATCCCATGAAGTTGCTGGGGAAAAAATTATTTACAAGAGGTCAAAGTAATTTGGTATATCTACTTCCCAAAGTTTGGAAATAGATTCAGTGTCTCATCATCTGATAAATAAAAATAAAAGCAGAATGAACCTTAATGGCCCACACTCTACATGTAGAGTGACTTAACAGATATATCTACAAAATAATTCAGTGTGTTGTAGTAGAAAATCTATGGCTTCAGTGTACCAAACAACAGTAACAATAGAGCATTTCTGTTAAAGCTAAAGGTACGTAACACAAACCAAGAGATTTTTTGATGAGAAAAGTTAATGATACGTGGGGATGTGAGAGGTAGATAAAGACAGAATAGCTGAAACTTCAGTTACTTTAAACATTTTAATGCATGAAATAGTAACAAAAATTTGTGTTTCTTCAATTATAATAAAGTAATCACAAGATAGAGATTTATTTTGAACAGGCTAGTATTGCTTTCATGATTTGTTTTGCATTTTAACAACTACAAAATTTATTTTGCAATTAATTAAATTATTCCAGAATATCTCATTTGTTTCATCAACAATTGTACAAGAATATCACAATTCTAATTTTTAAAAAAAATGTATACTCCCAAATTTAAGCTTAAGAAATACTTTAAACTTTTTACCTACTTAGAATTTAATCTTTCTCTGGAGTATAAAATAATCCAACAGGAGGCATACTGGAGTGATAGTGCCATCAATCTTAAGACAATGTTATCAGAGGATTTTTCATAATTGAGTTCTTCCATGTTCTGCAACAAAATGAAAAAAATAAAAAGCATAGTCACACTCTCTCAGCACAGCCCACCTCACAGGGTGGTTGTTGTGGGGAAAATAGAGAGAAGAACATGTGTTGGATATATTCACTGTCTTGGGTTATTTCTAAAAATAATAAAGGTGGGATACAAATGAATAAATACTGGTACTAATAATAAAATAACCATAAAGCAAATAAATAAATGGATGTGTAGCATTATAAAATAATTGACCAGAGATACATCTGATACTATTAAGAAATTGGCTAAGGCTACTATGTTTGAGCTGCAAAAATGTGGAAAAACCCTAGAAGGCAGAAGCTTTTGTGAGTGTTGTCACATGCATGAAGTGGCTAAACTGTAGAAAGCCATGGCAATGACATTAAACATTACAAAAACAAGAACAAAATTGTTCCTTAAGTCCCGGGAAATGAAATATTAGGAGGAAGGTCAGGCTGCTCCTTCCTTATTCAATAAGGTATAAGAGGGAAGGACACAATCAGACTTGTAAGATTCTGTTGATACAGCCCAGTGTTTCTCAATCTTATCAACTTTAACAGGTCTGGACTTAACTCCCAGAATTCCCTAGCCTGCTAAGGCTGAGAAACACTGATATATCTCAATAAGGTTTAGTTCAAGATAAAGGTTGCATGCAAGACAGTTTATTCAGTTTCTTTCTGTAAAAAAGGGAGAGTAATTCTAGTATATATATTAAAACACATACTGTGGAAATTTATCAAATAATAAAAAATGTATACAGGTACTCATCTATTTACAATCACAATTTAGTCCAAAATTTCTGTTGTTAAGTGAGACATTTGTTAAGTGAGTTTTGCCCCCTTTTGCAACCTTTCTTGCCACAGTTGTTAAGTGAATCACTGCAATTGACAAGTTAGTAACCTAGTTGTTAACTGAATCTGACTTCCCCATTGACTTTGCTGGTCAGAAGGTCGCAAAAGGGAATCACATGACCCTGGGACATAGCAATGGTCATAAGTATGAACCAGTTGCCAAGCATGTGAATTTTGATCATGTGATCATGGGGAGGCTGCAAAGGTCATAACTGTGATAAATGGTCCCAAGTCACATTTTTTTCAGGGCTGCTGTAACTTTGAACAGTCGCTAAATGAACTGTTATAAGTCAAGGACTCCCTGCACGTACCTGTGATATGAATGTGAGGCAACTATACTATAGGGATACATGATAACAGTATCGTGGTGATATTTTTTTTACCTGCATAACAATAGCTGTGCATTCATCTATGGTCATCACCGCATAATGTTCTGTACCTTCAAAATAGTTTAAGGTCTCACAACAGTTTCTTTCAATTAGTGTAATATTATACCTGCATGTGAAAGTTCCTGTTAGTAATCCACTGAATATAATACAATTCTGCTGTACCCACAGTCCAAGTTCCAGCAATCATGTCCTGCCTAGGTCACTAGCGACTTACTATATGCTAAGTACAGTTCTCTCATGCCTTCTGCAACTCCTCTGAGATAACCTTTATTGTAATATATTGGCTTCCCAACAGCACACATTAAAATGAAAATCTGATGTCTTGCTGTCAAAAGAAGGAATGCTACCCATCAAACAATGTCACTACCCCAAGGATAACTGTAATAATATAATAACAGCAGCAGCACCAAAAATGCCAAGTTATACAAAAATGACACCAAAACTTATATTAATCACAGTCCATTTTGAATACTTAGTGCAGGGGTCCCCAAACTTGGCAACTTTAAGACATGTGGATTTCAATTGAAGTCCACAAGTCTTAAAGTTGCCAAGTTTGGAGACCTCTGGCTTAGTGGGAAAAAAGAGTCTTGAGAGTTAACAAGAAGAACGGCTACAGGAACTGGGCTTGGCTAGTCTAGTAAAGAGAAGGACCAGGGGAGACATGCTAGCAGTGTTCCAATATTTGAGGGGCTGCCACAGGGAGGAAGGGGTCAAGCTATTTTCCAAAGTGCCTGTAGGCCAGACAAGGAATAATGGATGGAAACTGAACAAGGAGAGATTTAACCTGGAAATAAGGAGAAACTTTCTGATGGTGAGAACAATCAACCAATGGAACAGCTTGCCCTCGGAAGTTGTGGAAGCGCCATCAGTTGAGACTTTCAAGAAGAAGTTGGACTGCCATTTGTCAGAAATGGTGTAGGTCTCCCGCTTGGGTGCGGGGTTGGACTAGATGACTTATAAAGTCCCTTCCAACTCTGATTATCTGTTATCTTATCTTAACAAGGTTGACACTATATGGAACAAAGCTGTTACAGAATCTAGTTGTTCTGCTTTTGGATAACATGAAGCCTCCTCCCAGAAGGCAACAAAGAAAAGAAAACCAGCCAAGTAGAGGTTGTGTAAAGTCCCTGACAATACTATGGACTCTTACTGTATACGCCTAATGCTGAAGTACAAATCAAGGTCCAGTCCATACACCTCACTCTGTATTTTTGGCTACTTCTCAGTAAAAAGTAAGATGAATCTTAGCGGGCCTTAATGCATGATTAAAACTATTTTAAAAAGTAAATTGACATAAATATAAGGCAAGACAAATGTAAGATTACACGGGGCTAGGAAAGACACGTGACAATGAAAGGGACCTGAAAAAATGCACTTCTCCAGCCTTGGAGTTTCACTACTTACTTGGATTCTAGTAACTGAAGAATTTCTGGGGTATTGAGAAGTCCTTCAGATGTCAAAAAAACATAAGGAATTGACAACCTCAGAAGATCATATCCAAGATTATCTGGCAAAAACTCTTCTAAAACATATAACATCAACATTTCATTAAAAGCAATATTTCAAATTCTACTACAGTAATATTCATTTATTGATAATACTGAAAGGCCACAACACGCTAAAAGGACTTAGATTAGATATATGGAGTTAAATAACTAAGCAAATAGGTCTAGGTGTGTTTGGGTCTTTTCCCATGTAAGATTAAGAGTATCTTGGTGACGTTTTGGTGAGGTCCCACTCGCCATCCTCAGGCTGGTGCTTTCGGCTTCGTGCCAGTGCAAGCAGTGCAATCGAACACAATACAGAAGCCTGATGATGGCAGATGAGATTCTGCCGAAACGTTGCTACAACTTTAAAAGCACAACTATAATGACGTGGGAAAATACCCGAACAAAGCTGAATACCATACATGTAAGTACCCACGAAAACTTAAGAAAACATATATATATATAATTTTTTAAAACACAGTTCTAAATAAGTGCAACATACAATCTGTTGAGTCAATTATCTGTTTTTATGAATAAATAGTATTTTAGAAATTGTTGTTTTCAGAATATCCATAAGAGTTCATTGATAAAACTACAGAATGTATACTTCCAAATAAAAGCTTCATGGTGTTTTTGGATGTGCAGAGATTCCCTCTGGAAAATACAATTCCTAATTGCTATAATGTTTTGTGGCTTTGGTACATTCCTGGCAGCTGTTTGGGTCAGCACAAAATCTATACAAGTTATTACATTCCTACTATCTTAAACTACACTTTCCAGTGTCCAAATTCAGTGCTGTCCTGCAGTGCTTTACACGCCTTGAATTTGCTCTGCCTAAAGCAAATTTCCTATCATTTAGCTCTTTAGCAACTTCTCAATGAAGAAAGACATTTTAATTTGATGTTAATATAGAGCACTTATATGTACCGTCACACCCTATTCATTTTAACTGAGGAGATAGAAAGAAGATATGTTCAGATTTGATTCTCTCTCTAGTAAAGATTGAGATACAGTACACATTAGAATTTCCATACCCTGAAGTGCCTTATAACACGTGAAGTACAATTAACATAGTATAACATATTGGCTAAAACTCAAAATCTTACCTATTTACATAAGGAAAAAAACCTTTTACTGTTAATTCAAACAGGTTGCTTGGGGAAAACTACAACCTGTCAATTTCAGCACCCATCAGTATTAAAAATGAACCTAATATTTTAGTATATGATTTTTTCCTGGATTTTTTTTTTATGTATAAAATTTATATCTCAAGGGAACACCAAGGACTGCAGGGACATAATACACATAAACAACTTTCAAGTTGAATAATGTAACATGAAATACTATAAACTAGCACACAAATAGTTTGTCATATAGACTAATTATATTCAGCTATATAATTAAAAACAATTTTAAAAATTAAGTTTTTTCTCCCTAGAAAATAATTATGTACAAACATTAGAGTATTTTACAAAACAAGATCTAATTTTCTATCTTATTTCTTTTTCAATTTTATATTTGAAATATTCACATACCAGTTTCAATTGGTTCTGGGGGTGTTGTTTGGAAAATTAAGTAAGATATATTCATTTTTTTACATAGATCAATCCAACAGGAATTCTCATTGTAGTTGTACTCTATCACCAATGAAAAATTGATCCAGGGGAAATCAGACCCAATATGTTGATTATGCACAATGATACAAGAACATATGTCCAAACTAAAAATGGAAAGTCAAGAAAAAGTCTAAATATATGTATTTTTAATTACTTCTGAATATTTTTCTGAAATAATTTCAAGAAATTAATATTTTTCAATAATAATTAACTGTACCTACCTATTTATTATATGTTTACTATCGAACAACATTCCTCTTTTCTTAGAATTCAAATATATGGCCTTCAAGCCTATATAAAGAAAGAGATATATTAAATATTCATTTGCAGTCTTGGAAATTGATATGTGGCAATGATTAGTTATTTATTCATCTGAATGGATAAATTAGTAAAAGCATAAAATTATTAAACTATTGTTGTCTTTATATAGCTATGCTGAATTAAAAAAAATTATAAGCAAAGTTATTTATTAAGCCCATAGCATTATCTGTTGATTGTTAAACCAGTACACTTCAATAATATTTTTATACTGTGCTTTTTAGCAGTTGGCTAATATTTTTACTTCAAGCAGCTATATATACATATTTGATGCAAGTTATTCTGCTAGCTCCTTTATAATAAGTGGAGAAAATGTAATAATTTTAAAGATTTGGTGCCCTGATCAATTGTATTTGAAATGAAATATGGAATAAACTTATTATTATATGGGTAACATCAACTTTCAAAGCAATATGAAAATTAAAGTAACTTTTACCTTGCACTGTATTAATGGTATTGATTAGGACTTCTGTTTCTTCATCAACATCCATTCTAATCACAATTACTACCTGATACAGCATTAAAAGATAATTAAACAATTCAATAATCTTCATATTTAAGAGCTCTAAACAGTAACCTGAATCATTGGTAGAGTATTTCCATGACTATAGGATCGAAGCAATAATAAACAGGAAAAAATAAGAATATATTTATACTTTTATAGACTTCTGAATGCAACATGCCACGCAATTAGGTTTAATTTGATAGACTTGCAGGACCAGCGCACCGTGCAACATGTTCATACCAGTGTTATATAATGTTACATACATATAGGTATATGGGAATGTGTGTTAGTTATTTCTTATTTGGGTTTAGTGATTCTATTTCTTTCATTTATTGAGTTATTGAGATATATTTTGTGTTTTTGGGGGGGCTGCACCAAGGGAGGCTCATTTCAATTTCATTGTACACATGTTGTACATTGATAAATAAACGTTTGATTTGATTTGATATTAATGTGGAAAAATTCAATGCAATGTCATTAATCTTTTTTACTGAACTAAAGATTATTCTGCTCATATGTGGGCTTCTCCCATTCTCTGGTTCTAATGAGATTTTTTTTCTGTGAAAAACTGGTGTTCCCGCTTCAGGTTATTGGCAATATAATGAGTAAGCATTTTTTCTCTCTCATCTGAAAGCATTGTCATAATAATTTGCATTTTCCAGGGAATTTCTAGCCAAGATCAGCTAAGTTGATCCATTTCATTTAATTTGGGAAGCTGAAGCATTCATGACTATAGATCTGTCCTTTTCTTCCTTGCTCACATTGGGTCCCTAATTCAGTTCACCAATAAACATGGATTTATTGACATGGATTTGACTAGAATTTATTTATCCTTATAGACTGCTCAGGTTATAGCAGCATATAGCAATACAGTATGTAATTTGGATTAAAACAGATTCAAACCAAATTAATAAAAACACCAGAATAAAATAATGTAAAATCTGGGATTATATTCAAAACAATAAAAACTAATTTAATATCTGAATGGATAGACACAATGACAATTACCCTTGTTTGGTGAAATACTTAGACTTACATCAATTTTTTAACACTAGAAAGGGAAGCAGAGCAAATGTCAAGATGTCTAGCATTCAGAAGAATTGTATTAAAATGTATGTTTCTGTGATTGAAGTAGACAACCTGAAATAAAGGCATGTGAATGAAATCACCACCTGGAATGAGTGAAAGGTTCTTCTCCCTCTACAGCAATGCTTCTAAACCTCAGCAACTTTACATTGGCTGGGGATTGTGGGACTTGAAATCCACATATCTCATACAGTAGTTGCTGAAGTTGAGAAACAGATGATGGATGAGAAGAGATGAAGACTTGGAAAATTAAAATCTGTAGAACATGAAACTGTTTAGCTAAGAAAATATCAAGCTAGGAAATGGTAGATGTAGGAAAATCTAGAACCAGGATACAGAGCTACACATAATACACATTTATTGATTGAATAAGATGGTAGTAATTCTAAGAAGTAGAGACAAAACTTACAATGATAAGAAGCTCCTAGGCAGTAAAAATAGACATAAACCTAGTGTTAAAATTAAGATTAAAATTAAAAAGTAGGATAATTACAACACTGTATTTTTTTATAATAAAACAGCCCTAATGTGTGTGTGTGTGTGTGTGTGTGTGTAAATCTAAATCTTATGTCTCTGATCAGCACTAGCTCAAGAAAACACATTAAGAGAACCAACCAGATTCCATAGATCAGTGGTTCTTAACCTGGGCAATATCGTCCCCCCAGGAGGGGATTTCATTTTTCGGGGGGGGGGGGGGGGGGGGGGAGGGAAAGGGGGGGACAGGGGGATGAAGGAACGGAAGGGGGGTGATATGGGGGCGATGGAGCGAGAAGTTTTTGGGACACTTTTGTGACTTTTTTCATACAGTGAACCACTGTATATCTGTTGTACAAAAACATCAGATCGCTCGCTATTAGTGGATTGAACCGTGTTTTAAAATGTTCCTCCAGCTAGCTTCAGTACAGAACGACGTACATATGTGAATACGCATCAATCATCTTCATGCGCGGTATGGGAAAAAGACTGGAAATAAATTATTTGCATCGATAGGTCCTGATGACAATTTTAAAGAAAACAAAAAACATGTTTGCATAAATTGAAGGTTTCCCTGTGTTGTGATTGAGAGGTTATGTTGGGGGGGAGAGGGGCGATGATAACTTCCTCAATGGCTCAAGGGGGCGATTCTTTCAAAAAGGTTAAGAACCACTGCCATAGATAACCAGGTCCTGAACCATGAAGGATTTAAAGTAAAACTAGTACCTTGAATTTCATTTTTAAACCAACTGGCAACTATGCATAATTGTCAGGGACTACGCTTCCTATTCCAGGAAAAGTTGCAATTGGTGCAAAAGCTCTCTTCACCATAGCTGTCACCTTCTCCAGCAGGTGCTGTGAGGGCAAAACCCTCAAATTGCAAACCACTTATCAGGAGTACAATCCCATTCAGAATTAAAGTGGAATCTAACTGAGATTGGTGGTCTTTCAGACCTAAAGCCACTCTGAGTTTCAACCTGTTACTCTCCATCCAGGCTATCTTCTAATAGCTGGATAGCATTTTGGCAGCATCATATAGTCAGTCAGGAATCAATATGTGGAATCGAATCTCAACAACATACTGAATAAACAGTTTCATGTAGGTGTCAAATAGGAGGAAGCAGACTATTATGCCCAGAACGGAGGGGCTCAAGTGGTTGGTCTTTCCCCCATATGTCACCACGAACAGGATCTGTTCCTTCAGAGGGAAGGGGAACTAAAGCAAAACAGTGCCCTCTACTCCTAACCCAGGAAATCCATAATTGCATTGAAAGCTACTCAGAGGTTGAGCAGGTTTTCACAACCCTTACCCTGGTCCTTTCAGATATAATCTAGAAGTATGACTAACACTATCTTTGTGTTGAACCTAAGCCTGAAACCTAACTGAAATGTTTCTTTCTCCCAACTGCAGCTGTAGTTCGACTACTTTCTCCAAAATACCCCACAAATACTAAGTTTTCTATGTTATTTACCTTGTTCTGATCATTTGCATTATTCTGTACCCACTTAGAAATTTGATGCTGTAATTCTGTCACTTTGGGACTGACTTTGTGCTCCTGCACAACAAATTCCACAATTTTCAGCTGTTTCCAAATAATATTCAGATCATAGTCTTGGAAGTCTTTATAATTGTCTTTTGCCTTGGACAAATATTCTGTTCAAATAAACATTTATCACATGTTCTGCATATTTCACATGTCAGTTTCAAATCCTATTTTTCTTCCTCGTGTCTTCCTTTTTTAAAGGATTATTAATGCATTTTACAGCTGAATACTAAAGCAAGATTTATGACCAAGGTCTGCTCACTCAAGGTAGAACATTACTTTTTAAAATGTTATTTTATGGTAATTTTTTCCATTGCTATTTTTATTTTAAAAATTAAAGGTATTTCACTACACAACAGTAAAATTTGTACAAAATATAAATGGATTTTCCATCTTCCAATCTATGTTAGATATAGAATGCAGGGGTGGGATTCTACCAGTTCACACCTATTCGCTAGAACCAGTTGTTAACATACTAAGCAGTTTGGAGAACCGATTGTTAGAAGAAATTACTGGCCTAATCCTGTAAGGAAGGCAGGAAGGAAACATTCTGGTGTTGCTTACAGAAACTGCCTCTCCATTAACCCTTATTACATTCTTGGCAGGACTAGACTTCCTGTCTCAGGAACATCTCTGGAGTTTCCCCCCCCCCTCTCCTTTCCTGGTACTTTGCTTGTGTGGAGTGACCATTTCAAGTTACAATGGCACTGAAAAAAGTGACTTATGACCATTTTTCACACTTACGACTGTTGCAGCATCCCCACAGTCATGAAAGGCCAGGCGAGGAGATGCGTGCCTCGATGTGAGTGATATTGAGTTGGCCACACCCAGCCAATAACATGACCACCAAGCCATGTCCACCCAGTCATATGACCACCAAGCCACACTCACAGAACTGGTTGTTAAAATTTTTGAATCCCACCCCTGATAGAATGCTATATTTCAATAAACCAATGGTGGACTACAACACTTTATAAAAATTACCTAATGCAGTGTTCAGGTTACAGGTTAATAAAAGATCACGAACTGTAACCAGCAAATGAAGAATAGTAGCATGTCTGAATACCAAAATATATTTTGCACCTTTGCTACCTATAAAAAAGGGAAAAATAATATTAGAGATAATTCTTCCAGAACTACAAAAACTATTTTGTAAACACAGTAACTATTTCTTATATTTAGTTTGGTGGATATTAAGGCCCAGGCACAAAAATCCTGCTATTAAATTGGACCGCTTTGACATCTAGCACTTAATGGAGCAATTTTGAGCATTAAATTGGACAATTTGACATATGGAGCAATTTGACATCTTAGCACAAGTCAGATGTTCTCTTGCATACTTCAGATATGCAGTAATATTTGCTGTAGAATTGAAGTGCTATCACTCCTTGTGTAAATAGAAAAAAACTACACTTTTAATGTCCTCTCTCCATTGCTGATCTTTATGCCACTTTTACTGTTCCTGTTTTGAATCACTGTGGTCCGGTAATTTCTTTTCAAGGTAAAGGATGGCAAAGCCAAATTTATTTTACTCATACTGGAGGGAATTGCTATATGGTGTTGGAATAAGTGTGGAATGTGCCCTTAATACTGATATAGCTATAGATGACTTAAGGTTGGCGTCACGATAAAAGCATATAGTGGGAACATCAGAAAAAAACATTGTTGTTGATACTTGTACCATGGCTACTTACCGTACAAGTGGGAAAAGAGTTAAGACTGCTTTTATATTAGTACCTTTTAATATTTCAAAAGCGTTGATTTTCATAATTACTTGGAAGTAGAATTAAAATGATGGTTCACCCAATATTTTTCTATAATATGGTATTTTCCATTCTAGATCTGCAAATGACCTTAGTTAGTATTTTTTCCATGTTCCTTTTCGCTTCTTTTACAGCAGTTTTTGACCAAGATGTATGATTGAAAAACAGGTGGCAGCTGTGGCTCAGAGGATCCTGGTGCAGTTCTATCCCGTCTTTGTTCAGATCCATTTTGTAACGTAAATGCTGACACACCTCAGCATGCCAATGTAATACAATTGTTTCATGAGCTGTACTGGGTGCCAGTGGCTTACTGGTATAATTCAGGGTGATGATTATATCTAAAATCATTTTTGGCAAAGGGCCCAATCCTTTGTGGGGCTATCTGCAATTTATGCAGAGGTTTTAATCCCACTTCTGCCTCTTAAGCAGTGTCTTTCATGGGTTGCAGAAGAAATGCCTTCCTTGTTGCTGCAGCTGTCCTATAGAATATCATGGTCTCTCCCTCCCTCTATTCTTGAAGATGACCCTGACGCTGCTTGCTTTTTATGTTCTGTATTTTTTAGGATAACTTGTGTTCCCATCCAATGTGATTATTTTGATTGCTGATTAGATTTAGCAGAATATATTGCATGCTTTATATTCAGGGGTGGGATACGAAAGGGTTAACTACTGTTCGCCATAAATTGTCATTAGCATGTCATCAGCATGCTGCCTGCTGAGAAGCAGCCTTTGAAACAGCCCTCTTTTCCTGCTTTTTTAACTGCAGCTGTGCCTCCTTCGGTAGCTGAAGTTGAAAAATCAGGAAATAAAGATCAGATAAGAGCCCGGGTGGGCGGGTGAGCAAAAACATCAGCAGACATAGAACCGGTTCTATGTCTGCTGCTCTTCAAGGCTACTGGTTCTACAGAGGTGGACAGAACCGGTAGAAACCCACTCCTGTTTATATTGTGTATTTGTGTATGCATTTAATTCAGTGTTTCTCAACCTTAAATTTCTCAAAGACATGTGGATTTGAACTCCCAGAATTCCACAGCTAATCATGCTGTCTGAGGAATTCTAGGAGTTGAAGTCCACCTATCTTACAGTTGTCATGGTTGAGAAACACCAGTTTAATTGTATGCCACTCTGGTTATATAAAACAAACAAACAAACAAATAAATAAAAGCATGACTTATTATGAAGAAGATCCCCGATTCAATTCCCAATATCTTAAGTTAAAAGATCTTTATGCAAGACAGCAGTAGGGAAAAAGAAATGAATAAAAATGGAATTGTACCTTTTTTTACTATATAAAATATAAACTATATATAGTTTTAGAAAAACGCAGCAGTCCCACCTTGTTTCAATGTGTCACTGACCACTTTCTCTTGTTGTTTCAAAAAAAATCTGGTGTTATCAGAATTAAGGGTGGCAAACCTTGAATTCTGCATGTCAAACTTTATAAGTTCTTTCAAAACTGGAGCCGCTGCAGCTTCCAGGATATGATATGCCTGAGACTGACACTCTGGTTAAAACAAAAGCAAAGATTTAACAAAAAGCTTTCGAAGTCCTGCAAAACAAAATTGAAACAAATCACTATGTTTTATGACTGATGATTTAGAAACTGAAGTTTGCTGATAACCAAATGGTTTTTATTAACACTAAAGGGCATTGTGATATTTTGAAAAACTCATGTTTTCTTTAGAACAAATGTACAACAAGATATTTACTTCTGCTTTATCTTCCTTTCTGACTTTTTTATTTCCCAACCACAGACATATTAGTCCCATGTATTAGGCTAGCAGAAATCCAGATTTGAATGGGAAAAGATGACTTATACTTTTGGACAGTCACATACCACCTGTTAGCAACTTTTTGCAGAAGCTTGTACTGCTGCTCTCCATAACTGCCGTGCAATTCCAGGAAAACATATGCTTAAAGAGGAGCCAACAGACAATACATAACTATTTTTTCAAATTCAGATCAATGCATCGAAAGATAGAGACCTTCTATCTTTTTCTGTATAGGAGATCTAATATGCCATAATGTATTCTATTTTACAGGTCATTTCCCTCTATTTTAATTGCACAGAGGGCAATTCCATAGGAATTAGTGGCTCATCAAGAGTGAATTCTTAGATAGCAGACAGAGGTGAAATCATCATTTTATAAGTATACCGTGTTTCTCACAACATAAGGCCGGGCCTTATTTTTTTCTGACCCCCGAAAAAATGGCTAGGCCATCTTTTCGGGGGTGACTTAATTCCCCCCCCTTGCATCCTCGGCCGGCGGGAGGCGATGGCTTGGATGTTGACCTTGGCGTTGGTGGGGCACTTCGTATCGGGAGACCTTCCGCCACCATTGCTTTCCCTTCTCCCCGTGCTGCCGCAGCATTTAGAGCAACGCTGCAGCGTTTGGCGCAGCCACGCGTGGCCAGCCAGGGCTCCTCCCTGCAACCGGATTTTATGCCTATAAAACATGCTGGGACTTCCTATTGGGGGAGGTCGTATTGTTGGAGAAACACGATAGTACTTTTAAAATGTGCTTCTCTACATAAAAAGCAGCATTTGTCATTGTAATACAATGTGTACCAATCTAATTGGCTATTTTGGTAAGGCACTCCATTTTCAGTAAGATACGTCAGTGACCTCCTGTGTAGGTTATGATGTTTTCTATTTCTTCTTCCTTGGTATAATCGGTTCCCTCATAAATGTACACTCTTTTGACCATCTTTTCTGAACAGAATTCTACGTATATATAATTGTTCATTCTTTATTGGGGAAGTTTTGAGATCATTACTGAGGAATTTGAAATCCAGAGCTCCTGTTATAAAAGAAACATTAAAATGGTGCTTTAAAATATTTAGTACCTGATGTTTTAATTTTGACGAAGGCTAATGTATGATTGTCTTTTGATTGGTTTTCCATAGGAACTGTCATGCCAGGAACCCCAGGACTTTTGTGGCTTTCCATTGAAGGTTGTTCATCCTCAGCATCAAATACTTAGGAAATACAAAAACAGGTTCATAAAATGAGTTAAAGCAATCTCATTTCTTACTGAATGGATCAAGAAGACCCACCCTTGAGTGGCATGTTTATTCAAAAAATAAATGGAGTCATGAATGAGATCTGGACCAGTACTAAAGTTTTCAGCTGTCGTTAATTAAATATTGTTAATATTTCTCATGTTTATTTCCTTATGATACCATTTGTATTTAGCAATATTCCCATTTTCTAATTGTAAAAATCACAGACCAATAGCCGTTTTGGGGAGGAAGAGATAGAAGTGTACTCAAGACTTGGGAACTGAATGCAGCCTGCACCCAAAATGATAGCTGCTTATCTAATGGGAGACCTGAAAAGCTCTTATATCTACATGACACATACAAGTGGCTGTAGGTTACTATTGTGCTTCTTGCTTTCCATAAAAGAAATCATAGGAAGTTTCCTACAGAGAAATTCTAAAATATCCACAGAATACAACATACAATTGCAGTTTTAGTGTGAGATCACTAGATGGTAATATAAGACTAAGAAAAGATGTAGTGCTCTACTACAGGACTTATTAGCTCCTACAATTTTGTACTAAGTACAGCTGAAAAAATATATTAGTAAACAATGAAAATCGAACATAGTAACTGATGCTCCTCATTAGTAAATAAGTATTTAAATTACTCATGAAACTTAATTAAAGTCTAAGCTTTGAGGGTCTGATGTATGTGAACTTAAATAGTTTAATATTTCAATGGCAATTGTTGTATCTATGACATTCATCATTTTTATCATCTGTGCTAGTTCTATACAACATTCATTATTCATCCAGTTCTTTTTAATGAAATCAAGATGCTTTTTAGTTAACTTGCACCCCAATTGAATCATATATTAACTAGCACAATTATTTAACAAAATGGGAGTGGATGCTTCTAAGAGCAGAATTTGCTAACCATTAAGGGCAATAAGGTATGTATGATTTAATTAAATATAATGAGCCTGATTTATTCAATATGCTATTCATTCTGAAAATAGGAAAAGAGAATCAACAGTGGAGAAATCCAAAGGAAGTGGAATAGAGATAATGGGAGGGACTATATTATCCAAATTTTTGTGGTAGTATTACTAAATTCTCTTAAGAATTACTGTTTGTTCAAATGCTAGAGAATGCACTATTGGAAATGTTTAATTTTCTTTTCCCCACATAGATCAAATGTTCCCCATAAGGGAATATCTTATTAAGTAGATTTATTCTAGAGTATTTATGTATTCTAAATATTCCCACATTCCTATCTGATCCTTTCTGGTCTCAATGGTTTACATGGGTGGTTCTTAATATAGTTGTAGTTTATCAAAAAGATCATTTGATCCTAAACTATGCTGTGCTTGCAAACAGCCCACAAAGATTTAAAATCTAAAGAAAAGCAATTAAACTACCTTCTTCTTGAATATCCAGATTATTTCCTTCCTCTCTTTGGCTGACAACCTGTTTAGATCTCAGTTTGATAAAATTACTCAAAAGATCAAAGTCATCTTTATATTTTCTAGGCTGTTCAGATAGAATTGACTTTTTATTTCTTAATGTACTATCTGCTGAGGTAGAGACTTTCTTGCAACTGACTAGTTGATTGTTTTTTTCTACTTCATGGTTTTCAATCTGCACTGGCTTTTCAATTTCATTTTGTAATTTGGTTTGCTTGATATGATTTTCAATAGATACATTGTTGTCTGCTATAGAGATACTATCCTGTAGTGAAGTAGGTATCAGAGGTAGTGAAGAAAAAATCTCATTTTTTTTAGGAGAACAAGAATCCTTGGTCCCAGTACAATGAGGGATACTAAAAATCTTCACGTTGCTATCACAGAAGGAACTCTTGTCATCAAGCCATTCTGAAAAGAAAACAAATATTCGTCCATTATCTCTCTATGTATTTATTTTTCAGTTGAACACAGCTCAGTCAAAAACATATTCTGAATTATCATGGGATATCACAATCAACCCAAACAATCACTCATATCCGTTGAAATTAGGAGAGGGATAATCCGGAGCAGCAATTTGATGGTTTGTGAATCACAGCACTTTGTGAATAAAATCGCGACAATATTTGTGGTCTTACTTCAGTTTTCCTTCACCTTACAAACCTGTGAAGGTTGTAAATGCAAGCATTGGTTGTAAAGTTACTTTTTTCATAATTGTCATAACTGCAAATTGTTGCTAAACAAGGTAGTTACTACATGAGTACTATTTGCAAAGCAATGTGTAATTACTATGTGTAACATAATTTTATTATGAAATCACATTTATATAGCTGCCCATCTCACATGGTGATTCTGGATGGTTTTGATAATAATAATCAAAATACATACAAAATACATACAAAACCATTAGAACAACACAATTTAAAGTTAAAAAAAAAAGCAGAATAATAGTAAAACATACAAAGAGAGAATTACATTAACTGTAAGACAGCCATCTAGCAGGCTCCATTGTATCATGGGTTCCTCAAGTTAATTGACAGAACCATGTTTTAAGGGCTTTCTAGAAGGTCAACAATTAAAAATATTTTAGTAAAAACACAAGCTTTCTGTAATATAGCTTTTCAAAGGAATTATTCATGTTATCACAGCAGTTTTCACCAAACTGATTCCTACCAGATGCATTGGGCTATGTTTATTTCCAATCAGCACACTATTTGAAGCCCAACAAAGGCTTGAGTACAATATCCTCTTTTATGTCTATGAATATTGTAACTATGGGGGATTAGAAATAGGAAATTCTATGTTTCTGTACCATCAAAAACTGTGTTATTGGATTACATCTCATTAATGTCATCTTATTAATCTGATAACAGATACTCTTTTTATGTGGTAAAAGTCTCTGTCAGCAAAATAAGAATGAAGAGAATTCAACTCCCTTCCCAACTCACTTTGATACAATCATTTGAAGTTATGATGACCTCAGAAATTTTGCTTAAGGCCTGTAAGTGCTTCTGACCATCACAAAATGTTGCACAACTACCATCTTGCAATCATATGATCACGACCTGGATGCTTTTGCACTTATATTGGTTGCCAAGTGCTCCACAATCATGTGATTGCCATTTGCAATCTTGGATGGATCTGTATTTATCAATGCCTTTACAGAAGAATAATAACTGAGTTTTGTTTTCTTTCTTTTTCTCACTTCTTTTTAATCTTATTTCTTTAATTTTTATACTTTAATTGTATTTGAAAAATTCTAATAAAAACTAGTAATAAAAACACAAAATGGTACTATTTGCACATGCAAAAACACACCATACTGGAAATGAGAATAGAAAAACATGTTCCAAGCACGTGTGGTAAATACATTTAGCAGTCTGTAGACCTGAACTTCTCAAATTGAGTTTAGGTATCTATCCAGTTTAATTTCAAGTTATCATAAGAAACCAAAGAATGAAAATGAAAAGGATAACACTTATTCAAATAAAAAAAGGGAGTAGTAGTTAAAAAATAGGCATGATCCTGAGAGACTAATTTCTGTCATAAGTATAGTTAGCTATAGTTCCCAGGGAAGTAGAGCAGACACAATATTGCCTCAAGCAGCATATTTCCAGTGCCAACATTTGCTATAATGATGTCATTATAATGATGTATTTGCATGCCACACTATCTTTCCCATAGTGCCACAGCATTAATATAATGCTGGGAGCTAGCATGCTAATCCTACATCTTCTAATATCTTTTAGAAAATTCAGGTGGAAATGAAATATCTTGTTTTCATTTAAAAAACACTGAAATAAATTTTAAAATACTTACCATCTAACTGGAAATTAGTAATTTTTGAAAAATCTTCAATATCTGTATTAGCAAGTCTTCCTTCATCATTTACATTTATACTCAGTGCTTCTAAGACACATGGTACAGTCAAGTTTTCTCTTAAATTAATCCATTCATCTTCTTCCAAGGTTCCGGTAGTCATGGAATTTTCATGTATAGACAACTTTGTCTTCAGTTCTGTGACTGAAAACTGTTGACATACAGCAACAGAATTCTGAGGTACTGTAAAAAAAATGATACAGACCAGTTTATTTTCATCCCTACATTTCACTTAAGTCATCATACATTTCTATCTGTGCATATTTAGTTGGCAAATACTGTATATCCTGCTGGTTAGCCTTGTGGGACTGAAAAGTTCCTGAATACAAACCTTTCCTTTTGAGAAATCACAACCATATTACTCAAAAGTAAATTTGAATGAGATCAATGGGTACATTGCAAGGTGCAAATATAAGTCCACAGCCTTAAGAAGCAAGTCTTACTTAAATATCAGTTAGGCAATTGAATGTACTATGAAAATTATTTGAAAGAGACATTTTGGAATGTGCAGGAGCACAAATGCAACAATGCTTTAAAGCAGCCATGTCTGTTTTGGGGCCTCCTTGTAATCTTGAAAATAGATACGGCTGCTTTAAGGAATTGACCCATTAAAGGAGTAATCTTAAATGAGCTTTGTCTGTCTCAAAATCAGGAAAAAGTGTGAACAAATATGTGGATGCTTGAAAGATCTGCTGAAGCATATCTTCTAAATAATTTTCTAAGTAGGCACACCTCTATTGACTACATTGAACACATAAACAACGTTCTCATTAAAATACTGTACATTTTAATAGAAAGAAAGACATATTTAACAGACAAGAGGCAGGTTTCCAGTTTGTTATATTTATCTAAAATATTATCTAATAAGCTTACTTAAGAAAAAAGAAATTGGTTGCATACTCATATTAGTCAATCTAGCTCAGTATTGTCAACACTGAAAATATTAATTCTCTCTCCAAAGTTTCAAGGACATTTTTAGATTCCTTTACTACTAGATGTCAAGGGCTGAACCATTCTCTGAACATTTTCTATGCAAGCAAATGCTTATGGTTATTCATGGATTTATTCTATCAATTCAAGATACAATAGGACTTAAAAATTTATGAACCCTTTTGAACTTTTAATACTTCTGCATAAATATGATCTAAAATATTATCAGTTCTCCACACATGGTAAGACTAGATGAAAAGACCTAATTAAACAAATGAGTCAAAAACATTATACTTGTTCATTTATTTATTGAGGAAAGTAATCCAAAGATACATTCTTTGTGGGTGGGAAAAGTATGTGAACCTTTACTAAATCTAAATTCAAAATTTGTACTTAATTACCTATTAGGAAGAGTGAAGTCATAGCAGTCTGGTATTTCTCTGACTGCCACATAAGCCCTTCCAAATAGTTTGAAGTAGATTCTGTAATGAAATCACTAAGGGAAAAGAGAACAGGAAAACATTAGATTCTGTATCCTGTTTTCAGACAGACCAACACAGAGATAGATGTAATTAATAAATACTGCTGTCTCTTTTCTACACCAATTTTTCATTTTTAGCAAACAAACTAGGAAGAACTATCATTTTACACCACACAGAAACTTTCATTTCCCTTGTGCAATGTCTCTAATAATTAGTTAACATAGCTGAAAGCAAAGAATCTATTTGCATACTAGAAATATTTGTTTACTTTGCTGGATTACATAGGGTGGAAAATTACATGTGTGAGGAAAATTAAGCTGCTATCTTTTTGACCCACTAAACCAAAATGCAGTTCACTAGTCAATTACATAATCAACAGTTGATCCCTTAGGCAGAATAAGCTGTATATTCCTGTCGAAAATATTTTGTTCCTCCAGACCACTTGTGGTCATTTCTTAAAGAAATTATCAGCAAATATTTGTGTTTAAAAAACAAAAACAGGACTTCCGGTTTGAAGGGCTTCGGCGACAGACAGGAATCCGCGATCGTGCACGGTTTCTGCCTGGGCTTGCCGCTGGAGAGCCCCGAGCCAGCTGGTTTCGGAGCTAAGCCACCCTGTAGAGGTGGTGAAGAGGGGGGAGACCACCAGCAGGGTCAAGGAGAGCCGCATCTCTCCTCCTCAGCTGGCCATTACTCCCTTTCCCGAAGGCGGTAGGAGCGGTGGTCAAAAATGGCCACCTCAAAGAAGAACTCAACCGGAAAAGAATGTGCAGGAGGAAGATAAGAAGTGAAAGTTTTGGCTGACTGGGCTAAGTTGAAAAAGCAACAACTAAGGTACCCTGGAATTTAAATTTTACAAGAAATAACATTGCTCCCAAAGAAGAATCGGAAGCAGCGAAAGAAAGTGAAAAGGAAAAGGTTTGGCTTTTTTTTTCTTCTCTCTCCTTCCTTATATTGACAACTAAGAGACCTAAATAAGAAATCGGAAAAATCTGCTTTGGCATCAATAGGCAATTAAGCTGAAAATATAACTAAATGCCAAAGGGACAATAAAGATTTCTGGACATTAAAAACTTTTTCTTCTATAAGGAGGAAGGGAGAGAAAAAGAATAAGGGCAGGATCTGGAAGAGGGAGGAGACTGCCTGGACTTTAAAGAATCTAAAGTAAAATTTCAATAAGACTTTTAAAAGATACATTTTAACTGAAACTTTGCAACTAAATAGTAACCCCAGGAAGAGAAAGTGAAAAAAAAAAAAAAAGAGCAAAAAGAAACAGCTTGCGTGTATTTGGATTACTTGGTGACTTTTGGATTTTTGGTTATTATATTTGAATGACTAAAATCAATCGGGTGGTTGTTTAAAAATTTATACAATGGCATCACTTTTGGATGAATTGAAAATGGAACTTAAAAAGTACAAAGAAGATGCACAAGAAGGGAAGGGTTCTTTTGGCTTCGTTTTTCAATTCTTAGAAATGGAGATCTGGAATTATGAGAAACAACAAGAAAAGACTGCAAAATAAGAAGACTGGGACAAAGAAGAAGCCATCTTTAATAAACAAGTAACTCTATGTGGGGAAGAAAAAGGAAAGGGGGGAAAGAGAATGGAGAATTTAAGACTTAAAAAAACAATCAAAGAAAAGAAAAATAATTCGAAAAATAAGTATAATACTGGAAAGCAACAGAAAAGGGGAATACAGAAGAGGGAAATAGAGGTAGAGAGACAAAGGGGTAAAAATCAGTAACTACAGGAGAAATTTTGTTTAATGAGAAAAGATAATAGACAAATGAAACAGGACAGACAAAAATATAAATATAATGATTTGAATTGAGATGAAATAAATAAAATAAAATTGAGAAAATTAAAAGAGGGGAGAAGCCATGTAGAAAATGTAAAATAGTAATAAGATATGGAATAGAATATAAAAAAGAGCATGAACCTGAATTTGCGTCTGTACGAAGAAATGTAACCCAGGATTATGCTGCTTTCAAAAAAGATGTTTTATTTGTATTTCTTTTCTTTTTGTAAAAACTCAAATTTTTTTTACAAAAAACAAAACAAAAACAGAGACCATTTCTTCAGAGGTTGCTGAACTCCAGTAACATTTAATAAGTCAATCAGAACTGTTTCAGATGAATTTTTAATAGGAGCTTTATGCAGGGATGAGATTCAAATTTCTTAACAACAGGTTCTGTGGGCGTGGCCTAATTTGTGAGTATGGCTTGATGGTCACGCGACCAGGTGGGCATGGTTTGGTGGTCATGTGACTGGCAAACCAAATACAAGTGGTTCTCGCTTAATGGCCGGTTGCTTAGCAAGTGTTCTAATTTATGACTGACCTCCCCAGAGCTACTTGACCTGTTTGGGAGTTTTGTCATCCATGCACACACACACACACACACCCTTCTAACCCTGCTGGAGCAGGGGGTTGGACTAGAAGATGACCTCCAAGATCCCTTCCAGGCCAGCCCTCGATTGATGTGCTGTTTCAAAGAGTCTTCTGAAGCCAGGGTTTGTGTCCTTCCTTCCTCTCCTTTTTTTTCTCTCTCCCTCCCTCCCTCATTCCATATATCTATCTATCCATTCATACATCTCATTCACTTTCTCCCCCCTCCCTCCCCCTCCCCCTCTTTCTTTCTTTCTTTCTTTCTTTCTTTCTTTCTTTCTTTCTTTCTTTCTTTCTTTCTTTCTTTCTTTCTTTCTTTCTCTT